TTTTTTTTTTTTTTTTTTTTTTTTTTTTTTAACCTCACACTTCCCCATGACAATAATGCTTTCCCAAATTCAACGCCTCATGGCGAAATTGCATCAAATTACACCCACACACAAAAAAATATAAATTATTTTTTTCCCAAAAGAAAAATAAGTAAGAAGTAAATTTGAAAATAAAAAAAGATTTGGTTTTTGAAAAGGAGAACTTTATTTTTTATTTTTTATTTTTTATTATTTTTTAAATCGGCAATGACCGGTTCTTGAGGGAAGAGGGACCTAGGGGGAGGCGCGGATCTGATCTAATTATTCTCCCCTTTTTTTTACTCCTTTATTATTTTTTTATTATTATTATGGGACGGCAACGTGTTTTCACTTTTTTATTTATTTAATTAATCGATCCAATTTTATTAAAATATATTATATATATTTAATATCTTAATTTTAACCAAAATAAATTCAAAATTTTCAACTAGCCTAAACAATTAAACATTCTGGTCAAATAATTTTTTTTTTAAACAAATTATTTCTAACATATCTTTATAAATATAATTTTTTGTCTTCCAAAGATTGGATGTCTATTTCTATTTCTAAAATTTTACTTTTCTATAATATAACTCCTTTATCTCTTGATATTTTTTAAAATAATAAACAAAAAGAAAAAATTGTAAATAAAAAATATTATATCCAAAACCAAAACATGATTACTTTTAACTTAACCATTCAAAAAAATAAATAAATAAAAATTTCACCCACACCACCTCCTATAGGAGTTTGAGTCTTTTTTTCATTCTCAGTGTGGTTGATCATTCTCTCGGACGATCTATAGGAGTATAAGTCGTATCTCAGTCCCAATGTGATTGATCAATCTCTTGGACAAGCTACTTATCATTGCCTTGGTAAGCTATTGCCTTACCAACTAGCTAATCAGAAGCAAGCCCCTCCTTGGTTAGATTCCTCTTTTTGCTCCTCAGCGTATGGGGTATTAGCAGCCATATTTCAAGGACAGATTCTTACGCGTTCCTTACTCGTCTGCCACTAGAATCACCACTTCCCGCTTGGATTTATAAACAAAATATTTAAATTTTAGACCACCAAAATAAACCAAGGGATAGAGATTCAAAACCTTCTACTTGAATAGGGAAAAGATTAAAATCCTACTTCTCGAAAGTTATCAATGTCATAACATGCCCAGTTGGTTTAGGTCATTTTTATAACAATTCAAGCCCAGAGCTAGCAAATATTATTCTAGGCTTTCCTTTTTCGAACTTTCCCTACAAAAATTTATAATATGTCTTCTAGAGATAGGTTTTCACACTCTTATAAAAAAAGTTTTTGTCCTTCTCTCCAACAGACGTGAGATCTCACAGTGCACCCCTTTTTAGACCCAACATCTTTACTGACATTCGTTTCTCTCCCTCGAATTGACGTGGGATCTCACAGTTTTTGCCTCTAAATTTCGTTCATAAGATTTTGAAGCAATGATTAAGAAATAATTTGGAGAGACAAATAGAAAATGGACCAAATCATCTTAATTTAATCTAAACCCCTTTCATTTAATCAATTTCAAAACATTTTGAAAGGGTTAGCTTTAGATCTTAAGGTATGTTGACTTAACACAAGGGTAATGATTGAAAGAGTTGAAACTTTTGAAGAAGGAGTCGAGAACGGAAAAAGGAAAAAAAAGTCTACTGAAAACGACATGTATGACCCAATATAAAGCTCATTGATAGAGCCAAGGAGGGTGCCTCGTAAGAAAAAAGAAAAAACAAAAACAATTAATGCATAGCAAATGCATGTTATTGTGTTATATTGTGTCCGAAGGAAGTGACTTATCATCGACATGATTAAAGTGAAAACTATGCGTTGAAAAACATGTAAAGTCCAAGAACAAACAAAGAAAGAATAATATAATAGCATAAAATAATTTCCCCATCCCTCTTGAAAAGTTCGTTCATTGCCCCTACTCCAAAGAAACTAATCTCCTGGTTTCCCAACTCAAATGATAATCTATAAAATGTAACGTGATGGCGATGCCACATGTTTTTCAAACACCTACCTTGCTACCTAGTTTGACAAAACTAAGGTGGTCGTGGTGAGTAAGAAATGATATCAACTGCTGTCTACAGTTTTTAGAGGACTTTATCCATTTAAACTTTGAGCTTTTTGGACATTTGTGAATGCTACTACTAATATCCTTCACCATCAACAATCATTTCGCTCTAGAACAAAGAATCTGCCATCAATTGGAGCATTGAAGAATCGAAAATGTTAAAGATCTAATTCAAGTGGGTTTAATCAAAATGAAGTTGTTGTTTGAAAGTTTGATATATTCCCTTCTTCTTTAACACTTTAATTGGTTTGAAAATATGGAGTTGGGGAATGGATTGATGCCATCTTCTATGTCGTTTTTTTCAAACATTGCTTTGTGTTTGTTTTGTTTCCAACAAAGCTTTCTGGACCATGCCTATGACCTACAATTTGGTTCCAACACAAGACACAATTACCTAAAAAGCTTCTTATCAACTCATCCAAAAAAATAATAATCTATGCATTGGAGTCTTGATGCATAACTTCATTTTTTTTTTAATATAATATTTGTGGGTTCTGTTGGTTCATAATTTGAATTCAATCAAAAGCAATTTTGATTGTACTCAAGGGAGAGAAAACCAGATTTTTCTGGTTGAGTGTCACGTCATATAAACGGACTCTCCATACATTAACTTAGGTAGTTTATTTAGGTAGGAACTAAAGATGGTTAGAATATGCATGACGAGACCTCTAGAGGCACAATTTGAATGAGAATGTCATGTATCAAGTGAAAAACTACTAAAAATATCCGTAAAATGAGATTTGAGATAAATGTTGTTTTGACGCTTGATTATGTGTTCACGCATGATTAATAGGGTTGAATTTTGTATGAAATTTTGAATTAAGGACTAGAAGTTGACAAATAATATGGTTTAATCTTGTGTGGAAAACAAATTTAGATGCTACAAGAATGGTAAAGTCAAGAGGTGGGGTATGATTAACATAGATGTCCCATGACAACTTAAACTATTCCATAAACAAACTAAAAGCCAAACTAGGTTATGGTCCACTATTATTATTATTATATATGGTAAAGGCCAAAGTTTCATAATAATCACAAAACCCACTAGTGCCACATCACCTTCTTTGAAACAAGAAATCTTAAACTTCTCCTCCACCCCACCAACTATACCATAAACCATAATTTGTGTGACAATTTTCAACCCTCTCCCAACACACCAACAACTCCCTCCCTTTTTTAAATATACAACTCACAAGTCAATTCTCAAACCTAAATAAAGTCACAATGCTCTTCACTCCGCTGGTAGAGTTAGGGAAGGTGTTTTGATCGATAAAAAAGAAGAACCTATTTCAAACGATATAAATCTAATTGTTGCCTTCAAATCCGATTTTGCATTCTTCTTGGTCGTTTTAGTAGGGGTATTTTGAGCGTTTCCTTTGCGATTGAAGCCTTTCTTTCCATTCCCAACCGTGATTGACTTATTGGTGATAAAGGGTTTTAAAGTTAGGAAGGAATATATGGAACCAAGATTATAATAAGTTAACGTGTATGGAAGAAAAGTGAAACTTGTAAGGGTTAGGGTTAGGATTAGGGTTTGGTTTGGTAGATAGAGCTAAATAGAAACGGATGTTATTAGCTTCTTTATGGTTCTCGGGGTTGCAACAACCTCAAAATTCATCTCATCTATTTCAATAAAGTTGACAGAATCTGATAATATGAACTAAGTTGATATTTAATAATATGAATTAAATTGCAATAAATACAAAGTTAGTATATGTGGGCTATCATTAGCCTAATCTTGGAAAGCAAGAGGGGAGAAGGGGATATAATTGTTTTGCATTTAATTACTTCATTCATATTAATATTAATACAGTGTTTATAAGATGAATACTGAATTTTTAATAATAAAATCAAAATAGATATTTTATATATATAATATGTAACACCTCACCCATGTTCTATTGTACCATTTTGTTGCGTTCACATAGGAAATCATAATCCCTAAACTTCTTAGATTCACCAATTGATTATTCTCTCTCTTCCATGGCTACCCCACAACCATCCTTAATTATCTTTTCTTTTTATAAAATATAAATATTTTTAATTCTTTTTTTTTGTTTTTTTGTTTTTTTTTTTTGTCTTAAATCGACTGATGAAAAGCCTACAACACAACACTGTGTCTTTTATTTATTTATTTTTATTTATTTTCCATATTCTGTCTCTCTCTGTCACAGAGGAAACCCTAAATCCTAAACTTTGGTGGCCATAAAAAGCAGGAGAGTTGAAGGAAGTTGTAAGGTTGTTGAAGGTTATGCCACATTTTTTGTTGAATTCCCACTTCCTCTTTCTTCTCTATTTTCCTCTGTTTTCAACCAAACCACAAACTCACCGCCTCCTCCTTCCATGGATTCCGGCAATAGTGGGAGTATGCAGTCCTCTAGTGGCGGCGATGAGGAGTATGAGTCACGCGCCGACACCATCCCGACTACGTTTTTCACCAACCCACCAACCCACGCGGCTTCTTTCCCTGCAAACTTCCATCCTCCCCCGCCTCCTCAATCCTCCTCCACCTCCTCTTCCTCCTCCTCTGCCGCCATGTTTGATCATTTGTCCACTTTATTTGATCCAAGATCTTCCCTTTCTAACCAAAACCCACTTCTCAATCTCGATATGCTTTGGTCCCGGACTATGAGATCTGATCAGATTTCGCCGGATCTCCCTGACCCACCTCCTGATTCCTCTGCCACCGCCGCCGCCGCCGCCGATCAAAATTTATCCTCTATCTCTAATTTCTCTGGTGTTCAGACTTTTTCTCAACCATCTGACGCTACTAATTCCTTCCAACCCACCCACCAGTCTGAATTGCAGAATATTCCCAACAATTGTGGCGGTGGTGCCAACGTGGCTCGGAGCTCGAAGAAAAGGCCGAGGGCCTCTCGACGAGCTCCCACGACGGTGTTAACAACAGATACTACCAATTTCCGCGCCATGGTCCAGGAATTCACTGGGATACCAGCACCGCCATTCACAGCCGCTTCCTCCTCCCCTTTTACAAGAAACGCTGCCAGGTTCGATCTGTTTGGCGGCGGGGGAGGCGCCGCCAGATCAGCCGCACATTTGGACGTTGTACCATCCACGCAGACTTACCTTTTGCGGCCACTTCCACAAAAACCGCCGTTTCTGTCTCCGTCACAGTCCACCTTCCTCGCCGGTACCAATTTGCAAAACCCAATTTTTGACATCCACAACATGCTTCAATCCAACCCCAAATTCATCCCTTCCTCCAATGATCAAAATCTCAAAATGGGTCTTTTCGACGAGTTCGGTCTCAGCAACCTCAGCCATGACCTCCCACCCGCCTCCCAGACCTTACAATCGAACAACAACGGCCACAACCCACCTCCGGCGACATGGGTCGGCGGCGGCGGCGGCGGTGGAGAATCAAATCAACAAGGTGTTAATTTAAGATCTGGCAATGGAAATATCAACGGAAAACTGATCCGGTACGCCGCCGGCGCTGCATATTCAACCGGATTTCTCGGCGATAAAGCGGCGGAGAATTTAAGAGCTAGAAATGAAGGTATGGTGGAACCATGGATTTGTTCTTCTGATTAGATGCAAAAAAAAAAAAAAAAAAA